GGTATGGTGGTGAGGTGGTGTTGTGACGGGGCGACGATGTTGGTGGTGCTGTGTAGGCGGCGACGGTGGTGGTGTGTTGTTGGGTTATTGTTGGTGGTGGTTGTGGTTGTGGTTGTGGAGGTAGAGGTGGCAGCAGCAGCAGGGATGAGACAAAGAGTGTCTGTGACCAACTATTTGGTCGATTTGTGACCAAATGTTGGTGGTTGATTGGGTTCGGGGGACAGGTGTTTGGGTGTATTTGACCAACTATTTGGTTGTCTGTGACTAACTATTAAACCGTGACATTAAAATTCGATAATCTGTGACTAAAAATATAATATGTGACCAACAAATTTGGAAATATATGATCGATAGATAAACTGTGATCTATAATTTTTTTTTTAATTTATAACCAAATAAATTTTTTTGATCCGTGACCAATGAAGTAAATTGTGACATATTATATTTAAATAATAATTATTTTTAATTAATTAACTAAATACCTGAGTTTTGGATTCTTTAAACTTACACTGATTTTTGCATTGGTGAAACTTAAAACCTGATTTGTGAACTCTTCCCAAATAATATTTGAATTATATTATTTTATTATTATTTAAAATAATAATATATTTATTTTCCCCGATTTTTCTGTGCTTGACACGTGTTTTCTTCTAGAAGATGGCAGTTGACAGTTAAACTGCCTGTCCAAACGGTTTGTGTCTCTTGAAGACACAAATTTTCAGTTATTGTGTCTTTTGAACACAACTTTTCAATTTCTTAAAGGTTCCCATACCCCAGTTTTCATTCATTCCAAAACCAGAATTGATTTTATTCTTCTTCCAACATTATTCCTTATTTTGCAATTCAGTGTTGAAAGTTATTTTCGTGTATTTTAGTCCTCAAATTTTTAAAGAGATCAAAACGTGAGTAGGTTCGTCGGGTCTTATAATTTGGAGTGCTACCATTACAAATCGAGGTAGTTGTATTTTTTGAGACAAGTGCCGAAATATCGTCAGCACCAGTGTGAAACATTATTGTCTTAAGAAGAAAGAGTCGAACTATTGCTTCGACCATTAATATTTTATATCATTCATTTTTGCACGACGTTATTCTGCTCAAATCAATTCGCGGTAATATCATTATTTGCCAACACATACACTAGATGGAAATCTGAAAACAAATAATGCGCAAACATATTTTTCATGTCGCTTCATCATTTCCGTTAGCCATGTCAGCATTTTAATTAGCACAGCACACGGAGGTAAATAGAGTGCACAATTACTAAAAGGATATAAGCATCATAATCTTACCTCCATTTGGCCACAGCACTAGAGGTTTGCTCGAAGGGTCTTCTGACTCGGTAAAATAATAGAAGAGTGCTCGACCAGCATTAGGATCAACAGTTACATACCCTGAATACTGACTAAAATTCACCTTAGGTTGTCCAAGCAAAGTTAGGATCTTGTAAACTTTCTTTAATCCCTCCTGAGGTGCTACGTGAACTGGTGAATACTCGGTGAAGACATCATCCTCCGTGAAATAATTGACCGATCTTTTAGATTGTTGTGCCTCGATAAGTTTCTGAAGTTGGTTATATCCTTTCCCACTATAACATTGTACAGAAGCCGCAAGGTACAAAAGAGAGAACTAAAACAAATGCGACTCTCATCTTTGCAATGCAACATAGGGGAGGGGAGGGGAGGGAGGGGAGGGGAGGGGGGGAGAGATATATCAATTGTTAATGTTGGCTTCTTTTACATGGGTTTTTCAGCACTAAAAACACAACAGCATTTGTTGAAAACAAAGTATTTTGCTTGTCGTCGTTGGATTTGCAGGAAGAGACAAAAGATAATATAATTTTTTTCTTCGGCCCATGTTTAGCTATACCTGATCGATTAATCAACTACAATTCAAACAAAAAAAAGCCATAAAGTCACACATGAAAACAAAATATAAAGTTCTAATTTGATGAATCCAAGAACTAACTTTTATTTGGGAGAAGTACTTGAGGATAGGTTATGCCAATTTTTTGCTTGTCTAGTATGGTGAATTTTACAACAGTGAATAAATATTAAGAAAACGTGATTAAAATATTATTCATGTACACTCCAGTCATGTCCTATACTACATTAAAAAAAATTCTTTTTAATTTTTGTCGTGTCTAAAAACATGACTCGTGTCTTGATATGCCTGTTCATATTCAAAATGCACTTATTTTGAACCATGGAAACTAACAGTTTTGTCATATTTTTTAAATATAAACTTCATTGTCTTCATAGTATATTGAGAATTCTCCATTTTCTGGATGTCGATTCATACATTGTGAATACAACTAGGATACATTAATGTGTTGTCTTCTTTTCTTACATTGATCGGGTTGTTGATTTGTTCTGTATTTTGGTTCATCTTTGGCTAATTCTGACATCAATTCTCTGGTGATTTTAGCCAAATATTTGTTCCTCGTTTCATAAAAGGCTGGGGACATACCATATGCTACCCTTTAGACGACTTAAATTATTAGGTTTACTTGCCAGGAAATGGAATATCTGCCTCTTCATTCTTAGTAAACGGGTTAGAAGATCGAGAAGTTGAATATAACTAAAATCGCTTGTTGGGAACTAAAATCGATTGTCGAGGTTGTTAAGGATGATTGAAAAGATATAGCAAACGAAGTGCAACAAAGGATTTATTTGGATGAAGAGAGTAAGGATTACGGAGGATAGGATTAGATGAGATATGATTTAAGGTGAATTATGGTGTATCGTTATACGGTGTTCAGTGCTACATCATATTAGGAAAACGTACAAGTATCGAAAAATAAAAAAAAATTACTATAGTATTTTTTTAATTATAAGTATATTTTCTTATATATAAATTTACTCCAATGTAATTTTTTTTCCTATTCTCCCGTTGCCAAATGATTATTGTTCGAACTATGTTGGCTATTCCACCCATTAACCACACAGGCTTTTACATCAGAGATTCGGAGGGACGCTCATAGGATAAAATATTAGAACGTAAAAATTCATTACATAAAGAACTATTGGTTCTAAGACATCTCCATTCTTGACGAACTTGATCTTGATTATGATGTGGTTGTAAATACAGTACACACCATGTCCACCTCATCCTCTTTTGATGAACTCTAAAGTATGCTTCTCAATCGTGAAAAACGATTA